AGCAGCAGGCCTTTTCTTCAGCTGACGTTGGAACCGGGAAAGCCGGTCGGGAAAAGGACTTCCAGCTGTGAGCCCGGCAGCGTGTGGGGGCGGGGCCGGGGCAAGCCGGGAAGTGTGCTGTTCAGATCAGGGATCGAGGGGGAGGATATGCACAGGACCGCGATGCCCCCAGGAGCAGCATCTTCAGGCTGCCTGCCCTGGTGGGTATTGGCAGAGATGGGATCTAGAGCCTTATTTCTGTCTGGCTCTCCCTGAGACCACCAGAAGACCCACCGGTGCCTCAGGGTGCCGTGGGGGAACACAGCGTTCTCCCCTTCACTCACGGAGAAGTGGAGACCTTTCAAGGTCACAGACATGGATCCAGCACCTGCACAAGCACGCTTTCTCTTTGTTGGTTCACGGTGACTGCTGGACATATCTGAGTGCTTCTGCGGTGCATGGCAGAGCCGTGCGGGTGATCAGGCACAAGGCTCACAGAGGTGGAGCGCAGACTCAGTTCTGGGTACTGTCTTGAGAGTACTATGTTCTCTTGACTCTCAGAGGGCCACTGTGCCCCTGGAGATGTTATTATGGTTCTTCACAGGAGTCTCTGGCCAGAGGCGATCCCAGTTTAGGGGCTCCTCTCAAAGAAATGCCATGTTAAGATAGAGCACCCAGGGTCAGGGCAGGGGAAGGCTGGGAAAAGGTTCCAAAGTCTGGCAGTGCACCCTTGAGCGGAAAGTTAGTCAAGCCCATGTGACTTGCCTTGGTCAATAGGCGATGCTAATGAAACAGGTGTGCGTCGCTTCCTAGGGGACACATTCTGGGTCCTGTGTCATCTCTGCCCTCTTCCTAATGCTGGATAGTTCAGGCCCTGGATTGACTAGGGAAGCTCTGTTAAGATGCCTATGTTCCTGGGCCCAAAGGGGACTGCTTCTGGATAAACACCACCCCCAACCCCCGCATTTCCATTGATCTTGGTCATTTATCTCATTCTTGGAAAGCTGGCCGGCAGTGACCAGTAAAAGAAAGCCATGGCTGTAAACACCAAAACTAAGGAGGGGGCAGTCACAGAAGAGAGGTGCATGCCAAGAACCCCGGACCCCTGCAGTGAGGCCCAGGTTCGTGCGCGGGCTATTGGCAAACAGAAGCTCATGAGTGGGGCGCTTAGAAAAGGGTTATGCAACAAAACAAGGTCCTCTGCTGCAGGACTTAGCAGCATCTTAAACCACGCATGCTGTGAGCATCAAAAGTCACCCTGCTGGCTGTGGGAACCCCACCATCCCTTTTTTCAATCTGTTGAAATCTGTTGGGAAAGATTATGATCCAAAATATTCTTTGAGACATTCTGTCTAATCTTTCCTTTAGGCTTTCCTCATCACCTCCTGTTACCTAAGTCCCTTTCTCTCCAAGGATTTACTTTATCTGTTTGTTTGTTTGTTTGTTTTTGAGATGGAGCCTCATATACCCCAGGCTGGCTTTGAACTCTGTGTGTGTGGGAAGATGGTCTTGAACTTCTGATCTTCCTGCCTGCCTCTATACCTGAGTGCTGGGATTATAGGCCCGCACCCCCACCTCTGGCCTATGTCTGGTTTATGTAGGAGTTACATCCTCAACCCTCCAGGGTTTTTTTGTTTGTTTGTTTGTTTTTTGGATTGCAGTATTTCTGTTTTCAGGAAATGGATCTTTTCTGTAAATCTGGTATTTTAAAAACATAGGTGGTCAGTAGAGAGTGGGGGAGGGTATTCCACATCTGTTACTCTCTTCCACACACATACACCAGCTTTAGGCTGGTTACAGGTGTAACTAGTCCTGGTCCCTAACTCGGGGTGACTTTAATAGTTTTTCCAGCCCTTGGCTTTCAAAGCACAGGGACAAGGGAGACAGCAACTTTCTCAGGGAGACAATCGGCCCTCAGCCTGGGGGCACAGCCTCGGGGAGGAGGAGAGGGAAGAGGAGGAGGAGAGGGAAGCCTCTGAGCACTAAGCAAAAGGGGCCCCTTTTATGGCTTTCCTGTTTATGGTGAGAAGTAAGCAGCCTGGGAGCCAGGTTGTCGCTGACAACAGCTGGCCAGGGACCATCTTTCTAGGGGGTGGGGGATCTGCCAGTCATGCTTGTCTGGGGTACATTGTTTTACACCAGCATCTTGGGGCAATTTTGCTTCACCCCAAACCATCTGCTTCACCCACATGGGTGGCCTTGTTTTTTTTTTTTTTTTTTTTTGTGTGTGTGTGTGTGTGGTGACTTTGGGTATCCCTGTATACAACTGGGGGTGGGGGGGTGGGGGGACGACGCGACACTGGGAAGCTGTGTGACTTCAGGTGAGCCCTGTGCTTCTCAAGGACTCATTTGCAGTGGTGAGTGGTAGCCCTCTCGGGGATTTGGGAGAATGTGCAGATGGATGTGTCTGGCATGTGGTAAGTGTCAATAGTGTTTACAGCTAAGATGGTTTCATCTTCCCTCCAGGCTCAGCTTGGGGCTGCAGGAGCGGGTGGGGGGTTGAGGGGACTCCACCCGCATGCTCTGAGCAGCTTTCCCCGGCTTGGCACATAGAACACTCTGCCTCCAGGGAAATGTGGACTGTGATGGACCACAAGGCGCCCAAAGAAAATGAAGAACACTGCACCAGGGCAGCCAACGCCGGGAGAGATCAATAAGCTGGAATTATCAAGAATGGTATCGAGGGGGGGGAGAGAGAGAGAGGGAAACAGAGAGGAGGAAGGGCAGGAGATGCCAGAGGGAGAACATGACTCTCTCTCTCTCTCTCTCTCTCTCTCTCTCTCTCTCTCACACACACACACACACACACACACACATGCAGAATTTCACAACAGAGGAAACAAACAGGAAAGAGCAATGTGTGCCTTGCCTGTCCCCCTGGCATCTCTGGGTGGGCAGGACACGGAGCCATCATGGCTGACCTGCCTTATCTAGTGCTAAGTTCTTAACCACACTACTCCTCCAAATTTTGAACACAGGAACAAGAGTAGAGGGGCCCAAGTACATTATCTAGAAGGAACAAGTAACTCTGCTACAAGGTGTCTGATTATGGATTTACTCACATTCAGATATTGAAAACAGTAGAGACCATAGCATGCTGGTTAGAAACAGAACTTTGACCTTCCAGGGTCACCATCATTCTGGAACTGAAGACACCTCCGGCCACCGCTGATGTCCCTTCCGGGGCCTACCATGAGTCTCTTGCAACCAAGCCAGCTTGGGTATCTGCTGGCTTTTCATGAGTGCCACCAGCTCGCCACTTTCTGTTTTTGTTCTTCCCTAAGATGTAACTTTCCTTTTAAAGAGTAGTTTAATTTTACAGCAAAACTGGGAGGTAGACACAGAAGTTTCCCATATACTGTCCCCTTTGCCCCGGAGGCGGGTAAGCATGCTACCAGTGAGTTCAGTGAAGCCAGCCTTCTTTTTACCTTGCATTTTGAGGCAGGATCTTACTAAGTTGTCCAGGGTGGCCTTGAACTCACCCTATAGCCCAGCAGCCCTCGAACTTGCAATCCTGCTTCTGCCTCCTGAGTGTCTGAGATTAAAAGGTATGAACCACCAGGCCTGCACACCCAATTTTGAGATTTTTTTTTTTTTTCTCTTTCTGCAGAACTAGGGATCAAACCCAGGGCTCAGTGCATGCTAGGCAACCACTCCAGCGCCAAGTTACATCCTAGCTCTGAAGGACATTTTGGACACAGAGCAAATATGCAAGCAGGCAGACTTTCATTTGGGCTTTGCTGTGACCAGGCTCAGGGTTTTCACAAGCATTATCTCATTAGTGGGCTTCATCTCCATGACACCCACGGGAACAATTTCTAGCCCCATTTGTGGGTTGAGCTGTGGATGGCAGGATCCCTGCCCTTCCCCCTCACAGAGCATGCAGCCTAGTGGATGCTCAAGTGACTGTCAGCATGCCGCTGTGCCCTCAGGGTCATCACCACTGGGGACAGTGTGGAAACAGGTTTGGGAAGTTCTCTCTGGGCATTCAAAGACTCACAGTTCAGGGTGAGGGGAGGGTGACGGCCAGGGGGGCAAGTTGACTTGATAGAAGGAAGGAATCCTATAAGGCCCCCACCTGCAGTAGGAGTTTCAAAGGCAGCTGTCTTATATGGGCTTCCTGGCTATTGCTGCCCCCTGTACCCAGAAGGATGGAGAACTTCCTTTCCCAGCTCTGGGCTATAGGTTTTACAAGCCAGGTAGCCACCTGGCTCCTTCCTGGAGAATGGTATGGCTGTCCAGGTTCCTGGGAGGTAGAGGACTAGAGGACTGGAGACAGCACAGAGCCTGGTACTGGGTCAGTAGGACTTTCTCATGCCCTCAGCATCCTCTCCCAGGCAGGCACTGCCCAGGACCATCCTCTCCTGGGAGAGGTTCCACCTGTCTGGACGTTTACTCATCCTTCATCTGTGGGAGAATTAGAGAACTTATGGTGTGTCAGTGGTTTTGGGGTGTAGGGGCTTCCCACATCTGTCCTCTTGTGTCTTGTGTATTCTCTAATTCCCCCACAGGCTGGACTTTTGGAAGGAGAGTGGGATTTCATTCGTTTCCATTCTTTTGCTATTTCAAAATTGACATCCTGACTTTGGGCAAAGGCAGCAGGGAACTGCTTTTTATTCTTATCTTTTTGTTTTGTGTTTTCATTTCACAGTGTATAAAATTGCTGGAAAGCCTCATTTGGATACAATGAAGCCAGATACCAGAAACCTAGGCTCCCCTGTGTATAGCAGTCATTGCTTTTCTCTGCTTTCCAGATACTATGCTGTTTTCATTTAGAAAGTTATTTTCCAAGCTGGGTGTGGTGGCGCACACCTGTAATCCCAGCACCCGGGAGGCAGAGACAGGTGGATCTCTGTGAGATCAAGGCCAGCCTGGTCTGCATAGCGAGTTCCAGGACAGTTGGGGCTACAGGGAGACTCTGTCTCAAAAAAAAAAAGAAAGTTATTTTCCTACTTCCATAAGATATGGATAGAGAAAGGGTGGTTTTAAAATAGTAATATCTATTTCTCCATTTCAATTAGAGGAAAAAGCCAGTCATAGAGTGGGGACTCTGTCACAAAAATGGAGCTTCCAGCATGGCCAACAGTACCCCAGGGCTCACATGCAGGTAAGGGAATGTTTGTCCTGATTCTAATACTTCAGCCCCCAGATCTGCTGGTTCTTCTATGTGGTTCAGAAACACTAAGGTGAGAGTCTACAAAATGACTAAAGGAGCCTTCGATGTGAAGCAGCTGGTTGTCGAGCTGAAGGAATTTTAGTTCTGGAATAAGCTGGTCCAGACTGTTGGCTTCCACCCTTGTGGGGAGAGTTGTGTCACCTCCTGCAGGGCGATCATTTTCATGCTTTTAGGTTAAGGAGACATCTTGAACTCTGAAAGAGTAACAGCATGGGGGAAAATCATGCAGATGGTGACTTTCCCCTCTACTTTTTAACCACTCAGATTCATCCCTCTCTTTGTCTCTGTCTCCTTTAGCTCTCTCCAAGCCAGACAAGAAGCTGGCTGGCTTGGGCATCCATGAGTAGATGGGTGGGTGGTCTGAGGGGAGGGAGGTTGAGGGAATACGGTAATTTCCCTAAGAATCTGGGGCTGAGCTAAGAGCTGCAAGTCAAGAGGATGATGAGCACAGGGGTAACAATGGCCTATCTTTCTCTTTTTCTTTCTTTCTTTCTTTCTTTCTTTCTTTCTTTCTTTCTTTCTTTCTTTCTTTCTTTCTTTCTTTCTTTCTTTCTTTCTTTCTTTCTTTCTTTCTTTCTTTCTTTCTTTCTTTCTTTCTTTCTTTCTTTCTTTCTTTCTTTCTTTCTTTCTTTCTTTCTTTCTTTCTTTCTTTCTTTCTTTCTTTCTTTCTTTCTTTCTTTCTTTCTTTCTTTCTTTCTTTCTTTCTTTCTTTCTTTCTTTCTTTCTTTCTTTTTTTCTTTCTTTCTTTCTTTCTTTCTTTCTTTCTTTCTTTCTTTCTTTCTTTCTTTTTTCTTTTTCTCTCTCTCCTCTCTCTCTCTCTCTTTTGATATTGAGTTCGACACTGGTAAGAACTCCCATTCTGGATTCTTTATGAAGTAGTTTATAAACCTATGGCTGATAGCACTGAGCACTGAGGAAGAAAAATTATTTATTTTCCTAAAATACATTAATCTGATGTATGTATTTTGTGAAAACAGGAGAGAAAGACACAGTAGGTGTGGGACCCCAACTGGTCTAACTGCTTCTTTCTGCTTCTGTAGTTTGCTTGGCTTAAGACGGCACCAACTCCATTTTGACTAGCTGTTTCAGGCATGTTGTAATCTTCAGCTACCACCCCGTCCTGGAAAGCTATAGATCAAGCAAGCCCAGGCATATAAGGTAAAAACAGAAACTTCTGGCCCTACAGATAACAGTCAATGCATTCCAATGCCCTAAGGACAGCCCCTACCAATAAGAATCCTCCCCATACTCAGGGCATAGGACCATCCAATCATTTTAAAGGATGCTTGGCACGGACTTCTGTGAAACTCCCCTATAAAAGCCTACCCCACCCTAGATGGGGCTCTCAGTACGGATCCGCTGCGTCGGTGAAATCTGAGGGCCCGAGCTTAAGCCCGAATAAGGGCTCTTTGCTGTTGCATACACTCCAGACTCCTTGGTGGTCATTGGGGATCGCAAGATCTGGGCGTGACATAGGAAAGTTCCTGTTGCTGCTGCTGAGGTATTTTGCAAGGTGGTTTAGACTGGACTGCTCTTTTTTTCCCTTTTTAAAAAACGAATTTTTGTGAATTTCATACAATATATTTTGATTATATTTAGATCCTCTCCCCATCTGCCCCTGCCCAATTTCATGTACTCTATTTTATGTATATGTATAGATATGCATATGTGCATAAATATGCATAAATGTATGCCTGTAGAGTCCAATTTTTGTCCCTAAATGCCCTTTAGTGTGAATCCATCCACTGGAACCTGGCTAACCTACCAAGACTCACACTCATAAAAGAGAATGACTTTCCCTTTCCCAGAAGTTGAGGTAGAATTGGGGTTTCTTACTCACTTCCCCATGTCCATACTGGGATTTTGTTTGACTTGAACTTACATGGATCTTGTGCTTGCTGTGACCATTACTGTGAGTTCATATGAGTAACTTCCCAGCTATCTGGAAAACTCTGTTTCCTTGTGGTCGTCCGCCACCTCAATCTCATACAATCTTTCTGCCCCCTCTTCCACAATGATCTCTAAGCTTTTGGAGGTAGAAGTTTGATATAGGTGATTCAGGGATAAGCAGTCTGCAGCCTCTTGTTATGGTCAGTTACGGGTTTCTGTGTTAATCACCATCTGCTGCATAAGGAAGCTTTTACAGTGAGAGAGTTGAGAGACGGATTAATCTATGGGTATAATAATAAGTTATTAGGGCCAGGTGTGGTGGTGCCCACTTTTAATCCCAGCACTGGGGAGGCAGAGGCTGGTGGGAGATTGAGGCCAGCCTGGTCTTCATAGTGAGTTCCAGGCCAGCTGTGGCTACAGAAAGACCCTGTCCCAAGAAACGATCAAAACAACAACAACAAGACCAGTAAGTCATTAAGAGTCAGTTTAATACTATATCTATTTAGCAGAATGATGAAGAAAACCCAAACTGAACTCATTTCTTCTCCACCCATGTTAATATACTTTACTTTCTTTTCCACGTTTAACTATTTAAATATTTGTGACAAGGTAATTTTGCTTTCTAGTTGTTGTTTTTCTTTTTCTTCCCTGTCAAGATGTCGCTTCTCTGCTTAAACATCCAGAAATAAGAATTTCTGTGCGTACTTGAACATACCCATGCTGGGTAGTCTTGTGGTCTGTGTTCCCCTGTGACATTAAAGTACCTGTCTCCTGAAGGATGAGACATCAGGGTGGCTTTTGGTGCAAAAGTTTAAGCTTGCTCCAAGTTCTAAAAATGTCTCCCTCTTAATACGCTGGGATTTCTACCTGTTTATTAACATGGACCTAGTGCATGCTTTCTGGGCTGATTTACGGTTGTATTAGGAAAAACTCCACAGGGATATAAAATACAGTGTTCCATGCTTGGGCCTGATCTTACACACTATCGGTGATTGCAAGTGCATTTTATAACCCTGTGCCAAATCGAAATCAAGGTGATTTGCGCATCAATCTCATGGATAAAATCGGCACGCTCAGTTGCAGCCTGACCTTCATGGTACCTTGGCTGGTACAACTTGTCGATGTACTTTAGACAATTACCCAGGGACAGCTGGGAAATGCGGCAGAAGTGACCAGAGTTGGACCAGCTGAATCAAAAGGCTTAAAGCTGCTTACCTGGAGACTCCTCCGAGGAGAAGGCGGAGGAGGAGGGGTGCTCTTAGGGCTTTGTACCACACAGGCACTGTAGGCAGCACGAACTGCCTCGGGCCCTTTTGCACGTTCTTTTGAAGCATCCCTGACCTGCCTAGCAATTCTAAAACCCCAAAGTAGACTGTCACAACAAGCTGACAGAAAACTGTGTCTGAGAAAGCCAACAGGACACGGGCTCTTCCTGCCTTATTTATAATCTTGAGAGCTCCGCTTACTGTAGGCCAGAAAAGTAATTCAGTTTTTCAGATGAACAGGGACGAGGAACTCAGTGGCAGCTATTTTATTCTCGACACTGTCAACTGTGGGTTCTGCAGTTATCACAGAAGCAGGTCAAGACTTCGTGAGGAATCTGACAGTCTCTCTGTAAAGTTCAGACTCTAATCGCACGCACATCTCCATCAGTGCAGTCACAAGTCTCCAGAAGGGTTAAAGTTATTTTGAACAGATTCATGGAAATTGTAGATTTTTAGAACCTAAAGTTTTCTCAGTGCTGTTGGTCAGAGGGTATATTTAGGATAAATATTTGTAAGTTAGGGTTTTATGACTATAATCTGAGTTTCTCAACTTATATTTAACCCAAACTTCTTTTTAAAGTAATTTCATCTCTTTTGAGTCTGTACCCTTTCATAGCCCAGGGAGGAACTCAAATGGCTCTTCAAGTGCCCAGCCTGCTTTATGAAGTCCCTTTAAGATCTGCTAATGGTGGGATGATTATTAACATAAATGCCTTGTGTAGGAAACTGGACTTAATTATAATATATGTAATTAGTCATTGGTCAGCCTAGAAGTTACAATTTATCGTTCCTTAATTTGCCTTTATCATCAAAGATATTTAATTTAAATGAATTATTTTTAAAAATAGCCTGATTTGAATGGTGAGCATTTAGTAAACTTCAAAATTATTTTTTTGAAACTCTTCTAAGTCCTTTCACATACAATTTCAGAAAATAATATACCAGCATCAAGGATGGCTTGTACCTGTTGGTTAAAAAAATGGGAAAAGTACTTTTGTAAGAAGAAATACACAGTTTTTTCTTCCAGACTCTCATTTTCAGAGTACCTGATAAACTTTTACGGCAGGAGGGTTCAAGTCCTAGTGGTCAGAATATGGAGTCTGCAAGGTGAGACATTGCTTTGTTAAGCAGACTATCAGATACTCTTCTGTGTAGGTAATAATTCCTCCTGGACAGGGTAAAAGAGAGCAGCTGCTTGTCACCCACGTTGTTTTTGTGTAAAAGGACAGTCCTTGGGCTTTTCACAGGGCTTGTTCCATGCAGCTCCACTGGCTTTTCAGACAAAGGGCTCCCGCGTTCTCTTCCTTGATCCCTGCCCTGTCGTGACTCTGGGGTCCTTGACCATACAGGCCTGACTTGCTCCCATCCCTTTGTCTCTAAATTAATGCGGGTGTTCAGCAGACCCTTGGCCCCGTGTGTGAGAGAGTGGCCTCTGCCATTCCACCCTGCTGCCCAGGAATCTTTTTAATAAATGCAGCTACAGTATGACTCGCAGTGCGTTAGTCTGAAATGTGTCCACTGGGATGTGACACAGGACATCAGAGTCATCTCTCCTGAGATACAGGAACCACCATTCCCAGGGTGATGTCTGTAAGAATAAACCTTTCAAGGGGCTGGAGAGATGGCTTAGCGGTTAAGAACACTTACTGTTCTTGCAGAAGACCCAGGTTCGAATCCCAGCACCCACATGGCAGCTAACAACTGTCCATAACTCCAGTTCCAGGGGATCTGACGGCCTCTGCTGTCCTCCGCAGGTATTGTACAACACAGGTACAC